TGCATGTGCGTATGTATGTGTGTATGTATTTATGCATGCATGCGTATGTACGTTTTTGTTTCTAGGTTGTATAGCACGATAGATGGAGAACTGGCTAGACCCCAAACCCTAAACCCTGAACCCAAAGCTCTAAACCCTCAACCCTAAGCCCTAAACCCCCAACCCCAAACTCCGAACTCTGAAACCCCAAGCCCCAAAGCCTCAACCCCAAAGCCCAAACTCTGAAACCCAAAGCCCTAAACCCTCAACCCCAAACCCTAAACCCTCAACCCTAACCCCTAAAGCCTCAACCCCAAAGCCCAAACTCCTAAATGCGAGGAGCTAGGGTTTAGGATTTAGGGTTTCAGTTTAGGGTTTAGGGTATAGGATCTAGGGTTTAGGGTTTAGCATGGCGAGGAGCCCATTTCTGCCAGAAGCTGCGCGAAGTGCAGACTCTTTGCTCGGCACAGGAGCAAAGACACGCGCCGGGCTTCCTTTCTGACGTTTAGGGTTTAGGGTTTAGGGTTTAGGGTTTAGGGATTTTTAAGATTTTCTGGTTTTAATGGGTTTTAGAGCTCCTCTACAGGTTAAGATTTACGGGTTTTAATGGGGTTTAGAGCTCCTCTACGGGCCTTTCTGACACGATTTTAAGATTTACAGGTTTAAATAGGGTTTAGAGCTCCTCTACGGGCCTTTCTGAGACAGTTTAAGATTTACGGGTTTTAATGGGGTTTAGAGCTCCTCTACGGGCTCCTTTAGCGATTAGGGGTTTTAGGGCATTTGGGTTTGGGTTCAGATTTTACCTTAACCCCATTTAAAGGACTGAAATGAAGAATGCATAACACAGACACCCAAACAAGGTCAGATTTTGTGGGCCAGGTAGGCCTTCATTAGGGTTTAGGTTTTAAGTCTGGTTTAGGTTTTAAGGCCTTCTGATCGTTGAAAGGCTTAGATTTGCTCTAGAGATGTGGGTTTGAGGGTTAGCCAACGAAGAGCCCGACCAAAACCCTAAGTAAGGATTACCACCTAGACTACATAAGGCTCGGCTGCATGAATATGTGTAATGTAGGGGCCTTAATAGTTAGAATAGGGTGTTGGGGGCTTCTTATTATAATTATAATACAATATACGTACCCCAAAACCCTGCTTGACATTTGAGTGATGCACAAGACATCCTGTACAGTACTCGCCTCAGACTTCTGTGCGCAATCACCCCCAAAACCCTGCTCTAATTATTAAGGCCCCTATATATTAATTACTCTGTGCTTAGTAAACCCTAAACCCAACACCCTAAACCCAAAACCTTAAACCCAAAACCCTAAACCCTAAACCCTAAACCCTAAACAGTCTTACTAGGGTATTGGGAGCTCTGGGTTTAAGCTTTTGGAGTTCAGGTTAGAACCCAGGCCGGAGTTTTTTTGCGTTGCGGGCAGAGTGGGCCTTTGGCTATTTACGGTACTGTAGGGGCCTAAATCACTACCAATACTATTTTGGGGGATTCCTTCATATATTTGTAATATATTGTGCCTAAATAATTACCAATAATATTTTCGGTGGTTCCTGAATATAATTGTAAGATCTTGGGCCCCAAAACCCTATTCTAATCATTAAGGCCCCTGTATTAGGGGTGTTCCTCTGTCGAACTGCAGTACCAGTCCCAAGCCAAGGCCACTATTGAGGGTTCCTGTTCAATGTACCGATTGTGGCACCTTTTCAGGGTTTAGGGTTTAGGGGTTTGGGACTTGAGGTTGTTTGCGGTTTGGGGGTTTGGTATACGACAAAAACCACTGGACCTTTGCCCCTTCATTCATCCCGGGACAACCATTCTGGCACCTTGCCACAGGCTAGAATGACTGTCTGTCTAAGGCCTAAACCCTAAACCCTAAATCTAAGCCTTGATACGGCTTTCGTTGGCGGTCAAACTGAGTTTAAGCTCTGGACCTCACATTTAAAATTAAGCCGAAGCCCTCTGAACCAACATCCTGCTTTGATATTAAAGTAGGAGCCTTACAGTTGGAACATCATTTTCGTGGTCCCCGTAAGGTAAAGCATAAGGGATCCTAGCACTAATCCTCCTAAATCCATGTTCCAACTTTCTTGGCTTCACAATAATATAGAAACAAATATAACCCCAGTTAAGACACTTATAACTATGCTTACTAAGCCCCATGAACCTCCAGGTATAGCACATTCAATAGGGTCTGAAGTATTTGTTCAATAAGTACAGTAAGGAACCCTCAGGGATCTTCCTCTAGTCTCCGTTGTAGCTCCTTTTTGGGGGATACCTTTCAGATCCTAAATATAAAACTGGTTAAAGCGCGAGCCTCCTAACAACAGAGCTGCCATCGCTCGCAACGAGCGGTGTGCAGGTGGCCCCATACACAGAGACTCCAATATCCCTTAATTAAGGAATATACCTTAAAGTATAGTAAGATCCCTAATATTATTTAATGTATGTTCCTTAATTAAGGGATATTGGAGTCTCTGGGTGTAGTAGTCCGTGGAGCGCACAGCATATGCACAGCTCTCTCAGGAAGATGTTGCGGAAAGTGAAGCGGCTCACCTGCATGAACATGGTTGTCTGTGGGATACCTCGGATCTCCGTCGTTGAGAGCTCGAAGCCTCCCACAGGCTGACCTTCATGCCGCAGAACGGGTTTAGGGTTTAGGAAACCCTAAACCCTAAACCCTAAAACCCTAAACCCTAAACCAATCCAACAAGGTCTGGACTGACATCCTTGGCATCGTCATTGAATGGTACCCCAGATGTCTCAAACCCCCAGGCAGTCGCTCTCGTTCAATAGGGACTCAGCACTTGTAAGCATCAAGAGGTAAACAATTTTTGTGAACAGTGAATGTCCAGGACATCCACTTGCGAGTCCGTGAGTTTGTCGTACGCATCGGTATGGTGCGTCACTTCCTGAGGTTGCACCTTCGAAGATAACGTGAGTCGCGAAAGCAAGGTTGAGAACTACACCCACCGCAAGGTATGTAGGAAAGGCTTTGAGATCACCACCAGCCTCGATGAACTCTGAACGACTACGAACTCGCTATAGGTTACTTGTACTCATTCCGTCGTCCATATAAAGCCAGAACCACCCCCTCCCCTGAACCCTAAACCCTAAACCCCAAACCCTAAACCCCTAAACCCTAAAACCTAAACCCTCCTGCAAGTGCACCAGGGACTGATCGAAGGCCATCAGATGCTTCGCGATGCGGGCCAGGGCCTTTGGGATGTGAGGCTTCCCTGGGTGTGAGGGTCAGGGTTTAGGGCTCGAGGGCTTGAGGGTTCTGGGCTTGAGGGCTTCAGGGTTTAGGGCCTGAGGGTCTAGGGTTTAGGGCTTGAGGGTTTAGGGCTTGAGGGTTTAGGGCTTGAGGGTTTAGGGCTGCTTGAGGGGTTTCGGATTTCGGTCTCAAGGCTCCAGAGTTGAACACGAGGGTTGGGGCTTCAGGGCTTGCTGCCTCACGGTTTCGGGCTCGGGGCTCTGAGATTCTGTTACCCTAAACCCTAAAACCCATGAACCCTAAAACCCTAAAGACCTAAAACCTTAAACCCTAAAACCCTAAAGGCCTGAAGCCCTAAAACCCTAAAACCCTTAAGCCCTAGAAACCAAAGCCCTTAAGGCTTACAGGGTCTCACACGGAAGCCTCCAGAGCTCCAAACCAATGTCTCTAGACGCTAACACTTACCACTCCCATCTTGCATAGGGTTTAGGGTTTAGGGTTAGGGGCCTTCATAATTAGAATAGGGCTTTGCGGGTTCCTTTAAAGGGTTTCTTAACTCTATAAGGGCTGCTATAAGGGTTTAGGGCTTAGAGGCCTTAAGAATTTCATGTTACTCACCTGGACCCCAAGAGACCCACTTCTTGAGGGTTTCTTGATAGGATACTTTTTTGCCCTAAGGGTACATGTACCTAAATAGTAGAACTTTGGCCCCAAAGTACCTATAAAGGGACGACTTTAAGGCCAAAGTATATACTATTTGGGCACATGGACCCTTAGGGTTGTACAAGTCCTTGAAAAGGCAGGTCCTTTGGGGTTCAGGTCGTCCCGGGTTTCTATTTCAGGGTCCCAAAGGGTCCTAGGTACTGTTATGGGGGATACTTCCCCAATTCATAACAGTAATTCCTATTATAGAAAACCATACATTCTGCTATATAGGTACTTAGGACCCTCTGAAAATTGAGTGCTTTGGGGGTGTCTGCTTCAGAAACCTCAGCCATGAACCCTACAATAAAACCCGGGAGAAAAGCCCCAACCCCTGCAAAGACCAAACCCACAGAGACCTTTAGGGGTTTTAGGGTTTTTAGGGTTTAGCCCTGAGACAGCCCGAAACTCTGGATCTTCCGGAGTAAGCACCTAAACCCCTAAACCCTAAACCCCTAGACCCTAAACCCTAAACCCCTAAACCCTAAACCACCCTCCATCTTGTCTCTTGAACCTGGGCCATGCCTGCAGGTTCTCGATGCCATCTGCACTCAGGTAGCTGTTCGCATCCTTGTGGATCCTGGGCCGGAGGAATGATAATCCCTAAACCCTAAACCCTATAATCCCTAAACCCTAAAGCCCTAAACCCTAAACCCTAAAGCCCTAAACCCTAAACCCCTACAGTAAACCCTGAAGTTTGGTTTGAAATTTAAGGCCAAACACGTCGAACATGATTTAGGAAAGTAGACACTGGAGTTGAAACCTCGAATTCCTAAAAGCTGAGGTTCTGAGAGGTGTTTAGATTCAGGATCAAGGAATTGAGGTTTTAGGTTGAGCCAAAACCCTAAAACCTAAACCCTAAACCCCAAACCTTAAACCCCTAAACCCTTATAAAAAGGACCCTATAGTTCTATCTTCTGGCAGCCACATGGCTCATCCACTGAGCTGTAGCACTTCTGAGCCTCACAGCACTCCAGTCGAAGCTGCTTCAGTTGCGTAGGATTTAGGGTTTGGAGCTTTTAGGGTTTGGGGTTTAGTTTTTAGGGTAGGGTTTAGGGCTCTCAGGGTTTAGGGCATGTTTTGCTGCGGTTCTACGTAGTAGACTGAGTTGTATGAGCTTAGTTGTCGTGTGGCTGCACGGGTGTCAAAGCTTTGGAGTACGTTGCTTTTGTTTCATGGTTCAGAGGCGTAATCATAAAGGGGTCGGAATAATAACTCCTAACATCCCCTTATGGTCCCCCATGCCAACTACATTAACCCACCAAAACTTACTTTGTTTGTAGAAATTCTAGACTAAGATGCATAATAAGAGCCTGCAGAAAAGTAGGTTATGGTTGTTTATAAGGTATACGAAGGAATCGGTCTAGCCCATAAATCCTAAACCGTAAACCCTGAAACTAGCGTTTACTGCCGATTAACGGGCCAGGGAGTGGTCCCTGTCCATGGCGGAAGCCCAAGCAGGTATCCCTACCGCTTAGGGTTTAGGGTTTAGGGTTTTAGGGTTTAGGGTTTAGGGTTTACGGTTTAGGGTACTACCTTCTATAATAGGGGCCTTCATACTTATGATCGGGTTTTAGGCTTAGGGTTTAGGGTTTAGGGTTTAGG